ATATAAAAACCATGAAATTGACTCTGTAGGTGTTAAAAATGGCAACATAACTGGGAAACATCTTCTCCCTTTCTCCAACTCATTTTTTTTAACTTTTTGTTGAGTTTTTTTTACGCTCTCTTTCTCTACATAACATCCTCCAACTCATTTTTTTTAACTTTTTGCTGAGTTTTTTTTACGCTCTCTTTCTCTACATAAAGTTCTTCAAATTCAGAAGCATCTTTGTTCCTTTCTCACCTTTGCATCCATATAAAGGAAGCAGAAAGAAAAAACAGGCAGTTGCACACATTGATTTTGTGCACTATAAGCGTTACCAGATTGCTGGTTTGAGTGCTCAGATGCTAGTTCTGAGGAAGGCATTGTGAATGTTTGTTCTTTCATCTTGTGTATGCTTCCAGTTCATCTCAGCATGAAACACAACCCCATTCCCAGCATCAACCAAAATAAACTGTCCACAAAACAGCTACTGACATCATGGTAGAGCATTCTAAATGTCACCTTCTTCTCCAGAAATAAAGAGCAAAAAACAATTTGGTTTTTGAATGCTCTAGTCAAATGGTGACATTTTCGCACCACCGTGCCTAAACCAGTTCTGGACCACAAGCATTTCTAAAATTATAATCTTAACTTAGATTCTTGTATCAAATGTTTGAGTCTAAACCAGAAAACTCTCCATTAATATCCTGGAAAATGTATGGTAGGAAAGACATATGTGCCTAGCCCAGACATTCCAGTTGCACGTTTTCATTTAGATTCATTGCATCAGAATCTGTTACATTACAAATTTTTACAAGTAAAATCTTCTTGCACCTTTAAATTTATGAGTAAAGCATTAATCTTTGTCCAACAACGATTGATCATTTCTGTCAGACAGAAAAGATAACTACTCTGGTGGGCAAATACATCCTTGCGATCAGCAATTTTCATAAAAAAACAGAGCTAGGACAAGTGTAGGCAAAGGCAAAGTACAGCCTGGCCCCTGACCAGCTTCCCTGCAAATCTAATGCTCTTCTTACTGGGTACACATTTTCAGTCTTTCCTGAAGGCCTATGTCAGACCAGGAGGCCCTGCTGATGCTGTTGCTGGGTCACAACAAAGTTATTTTAATCCAGAACTACCCAGCACCTCATCTTGTGACTCCCAAGCAAGTGTCCTCACAGAACCATA